GCAATAAACATACGTGTGCATGTGTCTTTATAGCAGCATGATTTATAATCCTTTGGGTATATCCCCAGCAATGGGATGGCTGGGTCAAATGGTATTTCTGGATCTAGATCCTTGAGGAATCACCACACTGTCTTCCACAATGGTTGAAGTAGTTTACAGTCCCACCAACAGTGTAAAAGTGTTCCTGTTTCTCCACCTGTTGTTTCCTGACTTTTTAGTGATTGCCATTCTAACTGGTGTGAGATGGTATCTCATTGTGGTTTTGATTTGCATTTCTCTGATGGCGAGTGATGATGAGTGATGATAAGACGGAGTCTCGCTCTGTCATCAGGCTGGAGTGCAGTGGCACGATCTCAGCTCACTTCAGCCTCCACCTCCCAGGTTCAAGTGATTCTCCTGCCTCAGCCTCCCAAGGAGCTGGGACTACAAGGCGCCCGCCACCACGCCCAGCTCATTTTTGTGTTTTTAGTAGAGACGGGGTTTCACCATGTCCTCCAGGATGGTCTTAATCTCTTGACATTGTGATCTGTCCACCTCGGCCTCCCAAAGCGCTGGGATTCCTGGCATGAGCCACCGCCCCCGGCCCAGAATGACCTCTTTAAAGGCCCTGTCTCCAAATACAACCCCATGGGGGATGAGGGCTTCCACATATGACTTTGGTGGGGGCAGAAACTACTCAGTCTCCTGTACTCACCTTGGCTGTCTCGGCTTCTTTCTCTAGGCTCAGTCAGTGACTTTTTGGATTTTGTGAGAAAAACAGGCATTTGCGCTTCAAAGTGGGAATGGGGAACCACTCACAACTTCCTGTACAAACACGGTGAGAAGACCCTCCTCCCACCGCCCTGGTCTGTCCGTGCATGTGAATGGGCTGGAGTAGGGGAAGGGGTGGGGCCTGAAACAATCCCAGGCTGGTCCTTCACCAGAGCTTTGGAGCGGGGCTGGTGTCAACATGCCCAGGGGTCTGATTAGGGGAACCTTTGCTCGGTGGTGTGGTCCATACTGAAAAATGTGTGGCCTCGCTGTGAGTCCCAGTCATCGTGAAAAGCCTCACTGATGGTTTTCTCTGGTTTTGCAAAAATGCAAAAAACTCTAATTTCTTGTCAGCTAGTCCCAGGACCTGGTCTTAAAAAAAACACTTCTATGAGCCAGCGCAGTGGCTCACGCCTGTAATCCCAGCAGTTTGGGAGGCCGAGGTGGGCAGATCACTTGAGGTCAGGAGTTCAAGACCAGCTTGGCCAACATGGTAAAACCCTGACTCTACTAAAAATACAAAAATTAGCCGGACATGGTGGCGGGTGCCTGTAGTCCCAGCTACTCGGGAGGCTGAGGCAGGAGAGTCGTCTGAATCCAGGAGGCAGAGGTTGCAGTGAGCCGAGATCATCCCACTGCACACCAGCCTGGCGACAGAGAGAGACACTATCTTAAAACAAACAAACAAAAAGAAACACTTGTATGGGTTTTCCCTTCATGGGGCTGACCCTGTCATTCGGGCGGAATTGATGTCAGGCTCCTGGGAACTCACACTAAGGCCATTTAATAGCCTCCATAAGCTGCAATGTTCATGGCTGGTGGAGATCACTCGTGTGTGTGTGTCTTGCTCTGTTTCCCAGGTTGGGAATGCAGTGGTGCAATCATGGCTCACTGCAGCCTCGGCCTTCCCAGCTCAAGCAATCCTCCCATTTCAGCCTCCCGAGTAGCTGGGAACACAGGCACACAGCATCATGCCCGGCTAATTTTTGTTTTTATTTTCCATAGAGATGGGGTCTCACTATGTTGCCCAGACTGATCTTGAACTCCTGGGCTCAAGCCAGCCTCCAAACTCGGCTTCCCAAAGTGCTGGGATTACAGGTGTGAGCCACCCCACACGTAGCCTTCCCCACTCTTTTGTTAGAAGACTATAGTGAACATCTTTATGTTTGTGGCCCTGTTGCCCTTGTGCAACTCGGGAAAAGGTGCATCTCCCAGGGCGGTGAATTCTAAAATGTGCCCCCTTGGCCAGGGCTGTGTGTGGCCTGGGAAGGGAACCCTGGCTGGATGTCAGTCCTGCTCACCTCTCCCGGGGTGCTTCCTGCCAGGAACACAGGACTTGAGCTGTGTCTGAGCACCATGCCACACAGCTGTCAGGTCTTATGGCCTCGGAATACACTTTCAAGCGTCGAGTCACTGGATCATGGCGATGAGTGTTTTAGCATCAAATTTCTCCCTGAAGGGCGTGGATGAAGCTGCTTTCTCAGTAGCAATATATGAGAGTGTAAACCAAAAATAAAATTCTAAGCCCGGCACCACCCAACCATCTGAATGGACCTCTCCTCTCAGCCAGGGCACTCCAAAGTTAACCTGAAAAATGGGTTCAGGCCATGATGGGAAATGGGGGTTGGACATGCCTCTTTATAACCCTCCTCCCTTTTGGAATTCAGAAAAAGCCGACTAGCAGTCATGTCAACACAGTTTTTTTTTTTTTTTTTTTTTGAGATGGAGTTTTGCTCTTTTTGCCCAGGCTGGAGTGCAATGGCATGATCTTGGTTCACCGCAATCTAGGCCTCCTGAGTTCAAGCGATTCTTCTGCCTCCCGAGTAGCTGGGATTACAGGCGTGCGCCACCACGCCTGGCTAATTTTGTATTTTTAGTAGAGACAGGATTTCTCCTTGTTGGTCAGGCTGGTCTCGAACTCCTGACCTCGTGATCTACCCCCCTTGGCCTCCCAAAGTGTTGGGATTACAGATGTGAGCTATCTCAACACAGATTTTAAGTCTGATAAGAAACATTTACATTCTGTTCTCTCTGAAGCCTGCTACCTGGAGGCTTCATCTGCATGATAAAACTTTGGTCTCCACAACCCCTTGTCGTAACCCAGACATTCCTTTCTATTGCTAATAACTCTTTAAACCAATAGCCAATCATATATTTTTATTTTCCATTTATTTATTTATTTATTTATTTATTTAGTGATGGAGTTTCGCTCTGTCACCCAGGCTGCAGTATAGTGGCACTATCTTGGCTCACTGCAACCTCCACCTCCTGGGTTCAAGCGATTCTCCTGCCTCAGCCTCCTGAGTAGCTGGGATTACAGGCACCTATCACTATGCTCAGCTAATTTTTGTATTTTTAGTGGAGATGGGGTTTCACCACATTGGCCAGGCTGGTCTCGAACTCCTAACCTCAGATGATCCACCCACCTTGGCCTCCCAAAGTGCTGGGATTGTAGGTGTACAGGTGTTAGCCACTGTGCCCAGCCGTCAGTCAGAAAATTTTAAATCTACCTATAACCTGGAAGCACCCCCACCCCTCCTCACCCCTCACCTCCACCCCTCCACCACTTCAAGTTGTCTCACCTTTCTGGACCGAACCAAGGTATATCTTAGATGTATTTGATTGATGTCTCATGTCTCCCTAAAATGTATAAACCTAGGCTGTGTCCCGACCACCTTGGCCACACATTCTCAGGATCTCCTGAGGACTGCATCATGGGCCATTGGTCACTCACATTTGGCTCAGAATAAACCTCTTCAAATATTTTCCAGAGTTTGACTCTTTTCTTTGACAAGAGGAACCATTCCCAGCGGTACTATCCTAGTCTGCTCGGGCTGCTGTGACACAATCCCACAGACTGGGTGACTTAAACAACAGACATTTATTTTCTCACCATTCTCAAGGCTGGAAGTCCAAAATCAAGGTGTCTGTGGGGTGGGTGCCTTCTGAGGCCTCTCTCGGCAGCTTGCAGACAGCGCCTTCTCCCTGCATCCTCGCATGGTCTTTGCTTCAGGTGTATCTATGTTCTAATCCCCTCTTCTTAGAAGAGCACTATCATTCTATTGGAATGTTTCAAAGTTTTGTTATGCAGATGTGTGAGAGGCATTTGAACCAGAGTGACTCCATCTTGAATGAGGGCTAGGAAAAATGAGGCTCAGCCTTGCTGGGCTATATCCCCAGGAAGTTAGGCATTCCTAGCCCCTAGGTGTTTATGGTTAAGGGAACAGATTAATAATGTTTACTAAATAGACTCAGACCCAGGAATGTCCTGATATCCTGATATCTTGAGAACAGAAGCATTCCTAATTTTGCTTTAAAAATAATAATATAAGTTCTTGCAAAATATAGTAATTGTGTTTTGTGTTTTTTGTTTTGTTTTGTTTTTCTTTTTTTGTTGTTGTTTTTTGTTTTAGACAGAGGTTTGCTCTTTGTCACCCAGGCTGGAGTGCAGTGGCGCAATCTCGGCTCACTGCAACCTCTGTCTCCCAGGTTCAAGCGATTCTCCTGCCTCAGCCTCCCAAATAGCTGGGATTACAGGCACCCGCCACCACACCCTGCTAATTTTTGTATTTTTAGTAGAGACAGGGTTTCACCATGTTGGCCAGGCTGGTCTCAAACTCCTGACCTCAGGTGATCCACCCGCCTCGGCCTCCCAAAATGCTGAGATTACAGGCATGAGCCACCGTGTGCAGCCAAAATATAGTAATTATGAAAATCAACCCTTTATCACAAACCCTTGTAGCAGAGCACATCTCCCCATGTTTTGTTGTTGTTGTTGTTTTCCTATATGTAACAAAAGAAGGAGGTGATGCATTCCTCCTCTGACTTTCGGGAGCACCCTACTCTGTCTATGGAGTAACTGTTCTTTCACCCCTGTGCTTTCTTAACAGACTTGCTTTCACTTTGCACTGTGGACTCACCCTGAATTCTTTCTTGTGTGAGATCCAAGAACCCTTTCTTGGGGTTTGGATCGGGACCCCTTTCCAGTAACAGATGGAGGCTCCAGGTAGCAAGCTGCAGAGAGAATAGATTGGGAATGGTTCTTATCAGATTTAAGCTCTGTGTTGGTGTTAAATGCTGCTCAGCTTTCCCTAAATTCCCAAAGGGAGGAGGGCGTCGTGAGGCACGTCTGACCCTCCCTTCCTGTCACGGCCAGGATTAGGTTTTCAGGTTAACTTTGGAGTACCCTGGCCAAGAGGAAGGGTTCATTCAGATGATTGAGGTGGTGGAGGGTGCTTATCATTTTATTTTTGGTTTATGCTGTGAAAGGAAAATAAATCTTGGGACCCCAAAATCACCAAGCCAAAGGGAAAAGTCAAGCTGGGAACGGCTTAGGGCAAACCTACCTCCCATTTGATTCAGTCACCCCTCTGCTCACTGAGATAAATGCATATCTGATTGCCTCCAGTTGGAAAGGCTAATCAGAAACTGGAAAGAATGTTGGCCAGGCTAGATGGCTCACGCCTGTAATCCCAGCACTTTGGGAGACTGAGGTGGGTAGATCACGAGGTCAGGAGTTCAAGACCAGCCTGGCCAAGATGGGGAAACCCTGTCTCTACTAAAAATACAAAAATCAGCCCAGCATGGTGGCGGGTGCCTGTAATCCCAGCTACTCGGGAGGCTAAGGCAGAGAATCGCTTGAAGCCGGGAGGGAGAGGTTGCAGTGAGCTGAGATCGCGTCACTGCACTCCCGCCTGGGCGACAGAACGAGACTCCATCTCAAAAAAAAAAAAAAAAAAAAAAGAATGCAACCATTTACTTCCTATCTACCTGTGACCTGGAAGACCCTTCCCTGCTTTGAGTTGTCCCACCTTTCCAGACCGGACCAGTGTTCATCTTACATAGATTGACGTCTCAGGTCTCCCTAAAATGTCGAAACCAAGCTGTGCCCCAACCGCCTTGGGCACATGTCATCATGACCTCCTGAGACTGCGTCACGGGCATGCGTCCTTAACCTTGGCAAAATAAACTTTCTACACTGACCAAGACCTGTCTCAGAAATACTGGGTTAACAACATTCTCACATATTGCTGCTGAGAAGGCAGCTTTGTTTGGAACTTCACGCCAAAAACCCCATTAATTACTTCTTTAAAGACCCTGTCTCCAAATACAGTCACATTCTAAGGTACTGGGTGTAAGGGCTTTAACATGTGTTTGAATTATTTATTTGGAGATGGAGTCTCGCTCTGTCACCCAGGCTGGAGTGCAGTGACGTGATCTCAGCTCCGTGCAACCTCCGCCTCATGGGTTCAAGTGATCCTTCTGCCTCAGCCTCCCAAGTAGCTGGGATTACAGGCACACGCTGCCACGCCCAGCTAATCTTGGTATTTTTAGTAGAGACAGGGTTTCACCATGTTGGCCAGGCTGATCTTGAACTCCTGACCTCAAGTGATCCACCTGCCTCAGCCTCCCAAGTGCTGGGATTATAGGCGTGAGGCACCACGCCTCAACATATGAATCAGGGCTTCAACATATGAATCTGGGAAGAGACAGAAGTCAGCTCCTAGTGGGCAACCTCACGACTGCTGTCTACACTGACAATAATCATCTTCCCATCCCCCTCCCTGCCTTCCATTTACAAGTCTTGCTTTCAGTCCCTGGAAGCAGCTGATCCTCTTTCTTCCTGGGCACCGCAGGTGGCATCCGGGACAAGACAATGAGTAGCCGGAGGCACCTCCACCTGGTGGATGCTGGTTTAGCCATCAACACTCCCTTCCCACTTGTGCTGCCCCCGACACGGGAGGTTCACCTCATCCTCTCCTTCGACTTCAGTGCCGGAGATCCTTTCCAGGTAATCGAGAAGGGCCTTGGGGCCGGTCCTGGGTGGGAGGTGGGCTGCAGTGAAACTGACTTTGAGGAGGAACTGAGGACGCGGAAAGTGGAAAGTGGGCGGTGGGGAGGTGCTGGCTGGGAAGTCCTGAGAGCCAAATCAACTCACCCATTGCTCCCGAAGCACCCGCAGTCGGCCACATCCAACGAGCTTTTGATCCAAACCAAACCCATCCCAGACCTTCCCAGGCCCCTCTTCCTGGCAGATGACGCTCCCCACTTCTGCGCCTTGCCTGCCCATTCATACCAGTTTGACCTGCGACAGTCTAGCTCCTCACCTGTGCACCTCCTTCCCCAGGCGTGCATGTCTCCAACCCCGAGGGCGTGTCTTCCTGCTCATCTGGGCTTCCTGGGCAGATAGTGGCCCTCGATAAATGTTTGCTGAGTGAGAACATACACAAGTATATTCGTCCTTAGCATACATTGCACCTTCACCGTGACCACTAGGATCCGTTATCCCTGCCTTCATATCCCGAGTCTGCCACTTACCAGCTGTGTGGCCTGATCCAATGTACGTAACTTCTGTGCCTCTTGGTTTCCTCAACTGTAAAACTGGGCTAACGATGGCTCCCCCAGGAGTTGTTCTGTGGTTTAAATTAATACTTGTTAATACATGTGAAGTGTTTAGCACAGTGCCTGCCATTTACTGTGGGGTTTATAAACATTTTCTTCCTCTTCTCTCCTCTCCTCCCCTCCCCTCTCCTTCTCTGCCCTGCCCTGCCCTGCCCTCCTTTGGAGACTGGGTCTCACCCTATCGCCCAGGCTGGAGTGCAGTGGTGTGATCATAGCTCACTGCAGCCTCAACCTCCTGGGCTCAAGCGATCCTCCCACCTCACCCTCCCAAGTAGCTGGCACCGCAGGCACACACCACCACGCCAGGCTGGTTTTCTAAATTGTTTTAGAGACAGGGTCTTGCTATGTTGCCCAGGCTGGTCTTGAACTCCTGGCCTCAAGCAATTCTCCTACCACCCAAGGCTAGGATTACAGGCACAAGCCACCCTGCCCAGCTATTTTCTTTAAAAATATATACACATACAATATACATGTACATAATATGTAACTATTACATGATATATATCAATACATAGTAGTATATATAAAATAATCATGGTAAAACATATCATCTATTATATTTATGTGTAATATATATACTTATATTCACACACATCTATCAGTTTACATCATATAATGTGAATTAGGAATGTCCATCCTCCTCCCCATGCCATGAGCCAAAACCCACTTGTCACCATCTTTCGAGACCCTGGGCCTTGGAATACCCAGGCTTCCTGGTCTTAGGATTTCTGCTGAAATAAAGATCCCAGGACAATATGATAAAGGTGGAACTATCAAGGTCTTGGGAGTCCTTTTCTGCCAAATCTCTGCTGCATGACCCCAAGCGATAGGCTTAACCTCTGAGCCTCAGTTTTCTCATCCTGAAAATGGGAATCGTATCATCTGGCTCACAGGAGATCTGCAGAGCCTCTGCACCATGCCTGGTCCATAGCTGGTGTTCAGGATGAACAACAATGCGTATCTGGTGATGATGAGAATAGCAAGAGTAATGGTAAGAAAAACAGCAGCATTTGTTAAACTTCCATCAAAGATGACTTCGGAGACCTACGCTGCCCAGTACTGTGGTTGCCGGCCACATGTGGCATTTGAGCACTTGAGATGTGCCTGGCCCAAGATGAGGTGTGCTGTGAGGATAAAATACACCTCAGATGTTAATGACCGCATATGGAAAACACATGTAGAAGACCTTATTCATGATTGGTATATTGACCTACTAGGCAGGTTTCTCCAGAGGGACAGAACCAATAGGACCTACGTCTAGATGAAAGGGAGTTTCATGATCACAAGGTGGAGCCCTACAATAGGCCGTCTGCAAGCTGAGGAAGAAACAAACCAATAGTGCCTCAGTCCGAGTCTGAAAGCCTGGAAAGTAGGGAAGCCCAGCCGGGCGCGGTGGCTCACGCCTGTAATCCCAGCACTTTGGGAGGCTGAGGCAGGTAGATCACCTGAGGTCAGGAGTTCGAGACCAGCCTGGCCAACCTGGTGAAAATCCATCTCTACTAACAATAGAAAAAAACAAAAAGTAGCTGGGCGTGGTGACGGGTGCCTGTAATCCCAGCTACTTGGGAGGCTGAGGCAGGAGAATCACTTGAACCCGGGAGACGGAGATTGCAGTGAACCAAGATTGCGCCATTGCACTCCAAGCTGAGCAGCAAGAGCAAAACTCCATCTCAAAAAAAAGAAAAAACGTAGGGAAGCCCACGGTGCAGCCTTCGTCTGTAGCCAAAGGCCCTAGAGTCCCTGGCGAGCCTCTGGTGTAAATCTAAGAGTCCAAAGGCCAAAAAACCTGGAATGTGATGTTCAAGGGCAGGAAACATCCAGCACGGGAGAAAGATGAAAGCCAGACGACCCGGCAAGCCAGATTCTCCCACCTTCTTCCGCCTGCTTTGTTCTAGTCACACTGGCAGCCAACTGGAGGGTGCCCACCTACACTGAGGGTGGGTCTTCCTCTCCCAGTCCACCGACTCAAATGCTCATCTCCTCTGACAGCACCCTCACAGACACACCCGGAAACAATACCAGCTTTCTAGGCACCCTTCAATCCAATCAAGTCGACACCTAATATTCACCATCACAATTGATTACACATTGAGGCAATCATACTTTTGACATATTGCATGAGATAAAACTTTTTCCTTCAAATGTGCTTAATGTAATTGGGTGGTTACAAATTAATAAACAGAAATTTAAGCAAGATATATCTGTAACAATTTAACAGAACCTGATCATCTAAGTTTTTTTCATTTTTCTCAAATTCATCTTTAATTATTTTCATGATGAGGCTTGTAAGAAAACTAACCAACATGTAGATGCTATAGTTGAATGTCAAATCTTTTTTGTTTGTTTGTTTTTGAGATGTGATCTTGGCTCACTGCAACCTCCGCCTCCTGGGTTCAAGTGATTCTCTTGCCTCAGCCTCCCGAGTAGCTGGGATTACAGGCGTGCGCCACCATGCATGGCTAATTTTTGTTTTTTTTAGTAGAGACGGGGTTTCACCATGTTGGCCAGGATGGTCTCGAACTCCTGACCTCAGGTGATCCGCCCACCTCAGCCTCCCAACGTGCTGGGATTATAGGCGTGAGCCACGATGCCCAGCCGAATGTCAAATCTTTAAAAGGTACTTATGAGAGTAAATTCCTCTGTAATACAATTATGAAGCACCTTCATGATATTTCTGTTTTATGTGTAGAAAAGTGGCTGGGTATGGTGGCTCACTCCTGTAATCTCAGTGCTTTGGGAGGCCACAGTGGGAGGATCACTTGAGATCAGCCTGGCCCATCCAGACCGCTGGTCTCCCGAGTAACATCCTTTACAGGTCTACAGGGCACAGGTTCCGAGCCATGCCTTTTGGCTACAATTTTTTCGACAGCACTCTATTTTAGTTAGTGCCTTGTATCTAGGGTTTCACCCATTTGGCCGAACACAGTGCGCCTGTATCTCGAACAAGCTCCAATAACTCCTGACCAAGCCCACAGCGTAGACTCACAAACCTCCGGCTTCTGTCTCTCCCCCACAAGTGCCTGGGGAAGTTTAGCATGGTCTCAGAAACTGAGAAAATCTCAGCTTGCATTTTTAGTATGAATGGCGCGGGGGGGGGTCTCACGCCTCGTAGTCTCAGTTACTTAGGATTTGAGATGCGGATCCCCTGGCCTACGGCAGCCTTGAAGACTGCAGTAAAAGCCGAACTGATTGGCTCATCCACTGCAACTCCAGCCTGGGTGACACAGCAAGACTCCTTGTCTCTAAAGATAAGTAAGTGTAGGAAAGGTGTTAGAGTCAAATATTCAACTCAATAAAAATCAAGAAGAGGCCCGGTGCAGGCGATCATACCTGTAATCGCAGCACTTGTTGGGGAGGCAGAGAGCGAGGGATCACCTGAGGTCAGGAGTTCGAGACCAGCCTGGCCAACATGGTGAAACCCGTAGATACAACTAAACTAAAATACAAAAATAGCCTCAGCATTGGCAGCACGTGGCCTGTAATTCCCAGCTACTGGGGCTGAGGCAGGAGATCACTAACCTGGTAGGCAAAGTTCGCCAGGAGCCAAATTGTGCCAGCCTGGGCAACCAAGAGTGAGACTCTTCAATAAAAATAAAAGAAGAAGAAGAAAGAAAGGAAGAAGAAGAAGAGAAGATGGAAGAAGAGGAAGAAGAAGAAAGGAAGAGAAAGAGAAGAAGAAGAAAGGAGGAAGAGAAGAGGAAGAAAGGAAGAGAAAGAAGGAAGAGGAAGAAGAAGAGAAGAAGAAAAGAGACAGGAAGAGAGAAGAAGAGGAAGAGGAAGAAGAAGGAGAGAACGAAGAGAGAAGAAGAAGAAAGGTAAGATAAGAAAGAAGGAGGAAGAAGAGAAGAGGAAGATAAGGAAGAGAGAATGAAGAAAAGAGGAAGAGAAGAAAAGAAGATGAAGAAGAAGAAAGGAAGAAAGAGAAGAGAAGAAGAAGACAGGAAGAAGAAGGAAGATGAAGAAAGAAGAAGAAGAAAGGAGAAAGAAGAAGAGGATAAAGAAGAAAGAGTAGGAAGAGAGAAAAAGAAGAGGAAAAAGGAAGAGGAAAAAGGAGGAAAAAAAGAAGAGGAAGAGAAAAGAAAGGAAGAGGAAGAAGAGGAAGAGGGAAGAAGAGGAAAGGAAAAAGAAGAAGAAGAAGGAGAAGCAAAGAGAAGAGAAAAGAATGAAGAAAGAAGAGAAGAGAGAAACACTTGTTGAGACTGCATCTCCTGTTTGCTAATAAGTAGTTGTCTAGTTGCTAACACCAGTCCTCTGAGACAAAGAACGTCACTTTAGTACATAAAGTGAAAAATAACACATGCTAAAAGATTAGAGACATTCCTCCTGACATCTACT